TTCAATTTACATGTTCACAGCTATCAAAGGACATCTTAGAACAAAGAAAATGTAAGTTGAAACTGTCCAGGTATGTATGTATTCCTGCAGTGTCCACCACTTTTGTTCACTGTCACGCTGTTTCAATTTACATTTTCACAGCTATCAAAGGACATCTTAAAACAAAGAAAATGTTAAGTTGAAACTGTTTAGTTTAGGTATGTCGTCCTGCAGTTTCCACCACTGTTTGTTCACTGTAAAGCGATGTCCCCGCCCAAGCTTTGGGGGAAGGTGTCCTTCCTCGACGCCGTTTTGCAGCGCAGAAGGAATCCACTCTCCCCACCCACATCCAATGCAGGCAAGACACACTCAATCACCGACTGCTTCAAAGGGGGATGGGGGGTTGAAAATGTAACTACACATGTCGGAGGCAGGAAGTTACATTTTTAAACCTCCCTCTCCCCTTTTAAGGCAGTAAGTTACACACACACCCAAAGTGAGTGGTTTGGGGGGGGTTGATAAATGCAACTACAGGCCCCCCACGTCCTAAGTTACATTTTTGAGCACCCCCCCAAAAAAAAAACGTCAAGGGGCGTTAACTGACAATAAAAAACACCCCTACGGGGACCCCAGAAAATGTAAGTTACATTTTTGACGCCCCCCTCAAATCCATGGGTCAGGGGGTTGGGATAATAAAAGTCATGATCATGAATGCATGAACGAAGAAACGAACGAGAACGGGGAAGGTAGCCCAGCAACTAAGCACACCGCCATGGGCGCTTCGGCCCAGCGCGGCCTCAAAGAGGTGAAAAAGAGAAGCAAAACCTGAGACCCTCTCGGAGCGTGTACAATCGTGACTATCGACTAAGAGGCTGGAAGTCGTGAGGGTGTGATATGTTCTTGCCCAAACAAATCGCGCCGCTCTCCCGTAGGATAGGTTGGTACCACCACAAAACCGCTCACCATTTTAACGCGAAGGAGAAACGCCCCCACCTCAGGCGTTGATTAATGTAGTCCTCTGATTAATAAACGCCCCTAGAATAATGTCTTTGTTTCCTGCGCTGATTAACAAGGCCCCCAGAATAATGTCTTATTTTTCGGCAGGGATAGTTGTAGTGGAATATTTTTAATTGTTATCGTTTACTTTTTCACTTTTGATTTTGCTGGGGTTTGCTTATCTTACAGGCTTTTGGGTGGAGATTTCTATTAAAATTGGAGATGTCCATTCAGATTTGATGCTTTTGGAGGCTGTTGGATGGAGATTTCTATTCAGTATTTGAAGATTTCCATTGAGATTTGATGCTTTTTGACGCTTTTGGATGGAGATTTCTAGAAAAATTGAAGATGTCCCTTTCTTTTCCTTTTGCTTTGCTTTACTTGCATAAGCTCTTTAGTCTTTAAGCTTTCCAAAAGTTTCCAAAAGTCAGTGGACACTTTCTTTACAAAAACCCTTACTCGAAAGTATTGAAAAAAACAAAAAATCATCCAAGCAAAGGGGAGAGTCAGCAAGCAGCTTTCTGACATTATTTAGAGGGGGCCCCTAGCATATGTCTAGAGATTTCAGGCCTAAAATATTTTGCTTTAAGTAAACTTGTATTCATTCCCTTTCTGTTCCTTTTGATTTGCTTTACTTACTGACCTAAGCTCTTTAGTCTTTAAGCTTTCCAAAAGTTTCCAAAAGTCAGTGCACACTTTCTTTACAAAACCCTTATTCAATAGTATTGAACAAACAAAAATCATTCAAGCAAAGGGGGTAGTCCAGCAAGCAGCTTTCTGCCATTATTTAGGGGGGCCGTCGAGATTTCAGGCCTGAAATATGTTACTTTAAGTAAACTTGTATGCATTCCCTTTCTTTTCCTTTTGATTTGCTTTACTTACTTAAGCTCTTTGGTCTTTAAGCTTTCCAAAAGTTTCCAAAAGTCAGTGCACACTTTCTTTACAAAACCCTTATTCAAAAGTATTGGATGCTTTTGAAGGTCCTTGGGTTCAGATTTCCATTGAAATTTTGAAGATTTCCATTGACAGGAGCGGCTGCTGCTGGCGCAGCCGCGCAGCGGCAGCTTCCCTTCGTTGCACGCAGTGGCTGGCGGTCGAAGTCATGAACCCGAAGCGCACGGAAATCCTCAATCCTATACAATCACAGTGACGACAGGTTGACTTGCCTATCAGCGACCGAGCCGCGGCATAAGTCTTCGTGCATTTTGCGCATGATCAATGACAGACCACGTTTATGACACTGGCGACGCCCAACGAGCAACGCCGCGGCGGTTATACGAGCCTGCGCGTCTGGAAAAAAAGACCACAATGTCACACCTCCCGAATGCTGGGCTGGGGTTCCTGCGCCTGAAGCCATGCCTCCCACAACACCCTGTGGGAAAAGAGCCACATTCACTTTGAGGGTAGCAACGGGAACGGCGAGATCCTGAACATACAAGTAATCTAAATCATACTGAAAACGGCAGCACCAATTCAGCGGTGGCACCTGCCTCCCATTCAACCCCTAAAAACTAAGTTATTGGTCTTTTCAGCGGCGCCAAACCAATTGGGGGGCCCATCCTGCTTGCTCACCTTTTGTCGAACCATCGGTATAAAGATGATGGGGTTCAGGCGCCTCAATTGGAGGGGACACTCACGCAAACGTCTGGTATCCACTATCCACTGTGGGAAAACGCTGAGAACAGAGCGTACACGTAAACACCTATATGGGGTTACCAAATCCGGATGACACACTGCACGCTCCTCGACATATGCACATATATATATATATATATTTTTGTTTTGTTTATTTAATCATTTATGGAATTGGTGTTGGTTCCCGTGACTGTTTTAAACACGCGATCACACACCTAACCGGGGAATCCAAGACCCTGAGCCAAAACGGGGACCTCACGTGGATGAACAAAGTCATCAGGCAACACTCGACCAGGGCGCCACCGATCCAGAACATTCTTGGATTCTTGGCCTGACGGGACGGCCTCGAGCACTATAGTTTACGCCAAGCGCCGTGGCTTTGCGCCAAACAAAACCAATCACCAGACAGGATACCGAAGCCAACCGCCCCGTCCACCCGAACAGCATTTGTTTAGGACATCTCCCCACCATCAGAATTACGACCCACGTGACCAAATCAGAGCAGCTCAGCACACACGATCATATCCTTAAAAGGGCGGCCAACCTCCGCCCTGCCGGATACCAAACCCAAGCTTGCACCGTGTCAACAAATTTATAAAACTGCAAAATTTGATTTGAGAAAGCTAGCAGCCAGCACCTAAACCCCTGTATGCCAAAATGGACGCTGCCGGCAACTGAGCGAGCGCGGGCACTTAGCCGTCTTTGAGCCCTTATACAACTCCAACGATGTAACTTGGGAGTGCGTCAGTGGGCCGGCATTTTCATCAAACTCCTCACTATGCGCCGCAAACGATTCCTCCTTGCCCCAGAAGACACAGCGCGGGCAACTGCCTGCTTCAAATGCCGCGACTGCGACGGAACCGTACCCCGTGCAACCTTCCGCTTCCTCGGCAAACGGTTCTGCCCGTCGAACACGACTCCTCCACACCCCTCAGCACCCAAAAGCACCGCACCAGGCAACTCCACTCCCGAAGCGCTGGACATGGTCGGGCCAACAAACACAAACACAGTCAAACACACACCCACCGAACCCAACCCCTCCAGGGAAGTTACAGCAGGGCTCTGGCCAGGAGCGACTGCTGACCCCAACGACACAAAAGGAGGAAGAGGCACAACCAAGAAGAAGTGCACCTTTGGGCTTGCCTTCGGAACCCGACCCAGCAGCCAGACACCTCCCCCCCAGAAATCTTCACCAGCGTACCCGCTCCGATTAGAGCCACCTGGTCCTTGCGGCCGAAGTTGCCCCGTAGGCCGCCCACGCGGAGGACTGTGAGCATATAGGCCACGAATGATGATCATGACCATCATGATCATCATCATCATCATCAACATCATCATCATCATCATCATAATCCATCATCCATTATCCATCAGCCATAATAATAATAATCATTGTCATCATCATAAGCCATCATCCATTATCCATCAACCATCACAATAATAGTAATCATCGTCATCATCATAATCGCATCCATCATAATCATGCCCCTTGGCAGTGTGTTCAGTGAATAATTGTTTAAAGGATTGTATTCTGATGCCAGGTCCTGCCATGCAATCTGGTCTGTATTTTGTAGGCCACGGCCTCGTCTTTCAAAAGATTTTGTTGCGATCGATGCTTCTGAATCTCCTGCAGAACAGGTTCCGTTGAGCGCGGTCTGGGCAAGGCGGGAAAGAAACAAAGTTGTGATAAGCCCCTCTCTCAACAGCACGCTGCTTCAGATGCACGTATGCAACATCTTGCTCCTCTAGCAATTGCGCAACGCGAACATCTCGCTCCTGCCAGGTGTGTGCTTGCTTCCCCATATTCTGGTCTCGGTATTCTATCTCTTTATACAATGTTGCAACTACATTTGCTGTGGAAAAAATACTAAAAAGTCAGTAAATAGTAAACAGCTAGTGTCTATTCTATCAATACCAGTATCTATCAATACAGTATATTGTTGTCAGGTCTTGCAACTTTGGTCTCCACCTACGTCAAACAAACACATTGTGCGCCTTCAATGTCTGCTTAGCAATCTTGGCTTTGGATTGCTCTGCAGCAGCTTCAGCCTTTGCGAATGGCATATGCTCAAGGCTTTGGGAGCATCCCTGATGCTCCCATCATTGTGGAACACATTCGAACTTTCTCTTCTTGGAGCATGAAGATTCACCCTGTTTCAGGTAGCCCACTGCTGTCGCAGCACCTTCAACTAGTCCTCTCTGGTTGCCAAACTCCCTAAACTCGAACCCGGCCTTCAGGCTAATGTAGCCAGCCTGCATTTCATCCACCTCCGCCTTTGCTGACATGGAAAGTATGATGATGCATGCAGCTTGCAAGGCTCGGTCTGGCCCGATCGGGTTAACGAAATCTGGCCTGCAGCCTAGCACGATGATCTTCCACCTAGACATTCAGAAGCAACTAAAGAAAACAATACGTGAAAGGATACGTGCCATATCAACCACATGACTCAATGGGAGCAGAATGCAACATGCATCAACCGCCCCAACCACCTTAGCACCATTCAATCAAGGACAACAGCACCTCTTGCCCAGCTTTGTCGCTCCCTTTTGGTGTTGGCTCGAGTCAATGAGGTTCACCCCCAAAGGGGCAAGCTTTAGACTATTTACAGGGTGCAAAGAACACAGAGCCAACGTAGCAGAAACAAAGTGAAAACACATGATCATATTATTGTTCGTGGCACTGGAATCTGTCCACACCTCCTGTCCAATTGCAATCAGCTTCAAGAATACCGAATCCAAGCTTCCGCTGGTGTTGACCCGGCTCTATCACGTGGACTCGAAACCTCATGTAGGCATCACTGCTTGATTTGAAGATCGAGATTTAGTGCTGAGCCTATTAGTCGCAAAAGCAGTGCCCACATTTGCTTGGCGGCTCTTCGCTTGCCAATGCAGGTCGGCAAAGGGATACTTCAAATTGATCAACCAACAAAAAATAATATTGCACATATCGTCTAGATTCGAGGAGAGCCTGTGTTGTATTCTGCATACTTCTACTTTTGTGGAATATGAAAGAATTGTATGAAGGTGCACTTGGACCAAAACTATGAAAAGCGCTGCATCTGTACGGGCAGCACAATTTACATCGAAATCGTAGTGCTATCATAGCTTGGTCCGAAGAGATTGTCTACCATCAGTCACGTCTGTCACCAAACAAAGAAAGGATGTACAAGAAGAGGTTGATGATGTCGAGGTAAATTGTGATGGCTGCCTCAGCCAGCTGAGACAAGTTTCCTCCCTTCTGTTCTCGTTCCGGTGCTTTGAGGCACTCACATCAGAATCGGATTACAACATCAAAGAAGGTGGACATTGGTATAGTCAGAATGGTTGTCGCACCATTAGAAATAATTCCTTTATTTGTCTAGAGGTCCTTAAAAATTTCACAATAAGTCAAGATTGAAATTTTCACACTCCTATGCTCAGGCTGGTGCCATCACGTAGTCTTCCGTTCCAAACTGGAAGGATGAGTGCTTGCCACCAATAATCAGCTGAGTGTCCAGGACAATGTAGCCTGTCATGTCCAAAATTCAATTGAATGGTCTACGTCTACGTCTACATTGACCCTACCGTAGTCGACTAGACAAACAAACTTTCAATGGGGACCATCGCTACGAGTATCATTGTTCTGAGCCATGCAGCAACGAATCAAAATGGGTAGACTGGAGCTGTTGGGCTGGCCAAAAGTTGGATCTGAGCTGCATAGATGTTGATAGGGGCGTTGCGCGGCATTACAATATGGGTTTGCGGTTTGCTTGACAAACTGTGTCGTCGGAGCTGGACGTTTTTTGAGAAACACCGCACACCAAAAGGAAAAAACATAGATTTGGATGATGGCTCGCACCTGTGTTAACAGCTGTTATCAAGTTATCAACATTTCTCAATCCTAACCAGGCCACCAGTGTCGGTGCTAGACTAACAAAGACATCCAAAGAGAGGAATGTACAAATATGTAATATGTATATATATATATATGTACCCAGAAGTCAAAAAGATCCCAAGAGCGCAAAAAGCTGCATGCAGGCTTTTTCGAATGCGCTTTGGTTGATGCTGGGGTCCTCCCCCAGACCCTGTATCATTTAGTCTGTTTCAAGCTGCCCTGGACTTCGCCAGGGGGACAAGGGTGTGTCAGGCAGTAGGATTCGCCCGTCACTGCCAAAACACCCGAATGTCCCCTGGTCTCCCAGGGCCAACAGGCACCTGTCGAGGTGCCAGGGGACAGGGTCGGGAGGACAGCCCACCGGATCCGGTCACGGGATCTTGGGTGGGCAACTAGGAAAAACCCGTTGCGGACAAAAGTTTTGTAGCAAAAGGAAAAATGAAGAGAGTCTCCGGCGCCGGTAGCCGGCGATCTAAGGAGAATCCTTCAAAGTCCGGATGAGTCAATTCATCCGCCCAGGTGTTGTACTCCCTGGGGATGTGATTGGGAGCAACGCTACAGCCCTCACAATGAAGGAAGAGAACCAATTCCATTAGCAGTGCCGCCGAGTAAGGTTTCTTGGCCGAGAGGTTGAGCAGGCTGAAGATGTTGCCTGAGTTGTCACTGCCCACCGGGAGACGAACTCTTCCCGGCAGCTGGAGTTCCAGGGCAGCAGTGCCACCTTGAATGCCCACGGATGGGCGTCTGCTGTAATGGCATAGTGGAACCATAGGACCTTGTCCTTGGTGGGGTTCGGGGAGGCCGAGCACCAGCCCCCAACATAGGCTTCGCCTGTCTTTGATGCACTAGCATCACTGCATCCCCACCAAGGCGACTTTGGCAGGAAGGGTGAGTACTGCTCAAAGGGGTGCGTGAAGAGCTCCTTCAGGAGGGCAGCCAACATGCGGGCCACCTTGGCAGAAGCCCTTGTAAAACCCGGCAAGGTAGGCGTCTTCGACGTGGGCTGTGCCTGGGCCTTTGCCGGGGGCGTAGAAGGCAAAGAAGCCGCCGCCATGGCATCTACCGGATCACTAAAATACCCTGCCGGTAAGCCCGCTCGCTCAGTGATGTCCTCTTCCATCTGGTCGGCAGGCGCCGCCGGGCGTGGCTCCGCCGCAACAGGCCAGGCCAAAGGTGGTTCCGCCAGGGTCGTCAAAAGTGTGGGCTGGGCCGCCGCCGCCGATGGTGTAGTAGGGCTCGTCGTCAGTAGGTGCCACCCCCCTCCACCTCTGGGCCAGAGGCACCAGGAGCAGAGGGGGGTTGGCCAGCGCCGCCATCGGCCGGGGCCTCTAACCCCAGGAGGTCCACACCCATGTCCGCATCTTCACGTTCCGCAATCTGGACCTTGAGTGCTTCCAGGTGGCGCTCCAACTCCCGGATCTGCGCCTGAGCATCCAGCTCAGAAACCAAAACGGGCTGTCCAAAAATGGCGAGGCCCCTCGCTCCTTCCGCCTCCGCATGACGGAGGGCTGCAGACGCAGCATCAGCTGCCTGATCCAAACTCTCCATGCCCGGGCTACTGATTGTAGTCCCATCCTCAACGTCTGGTTGGGCATCTCGCACTGACTCAATCATGACATACTCCGGTTCCATTGGGTGCGCCATTGCGTCGTCGTCAACAAGAACCAATGTACTAGGGAGTTTTCTTCCAACCTTCAGGTGCAATCCTGTGGATGATTGCCACCAGCTTGAGCCAAAATGTCCCGGTGGGACATTTTGCGAACTTCAGTGAACATAAAACTTGCATCCGCAAGCTACCTGCAAGTGTGTATATATATATATATGCAGTGTGGTGCTTGATCGGCCATACTCTGACTCATGATTTCGAGCTCATTGAAGGAACGATATAAGTCCTTAAAACTCCCTGAGCATAGATGAAGATTATCCAAAGTGTAGTTGAACATGAACTAATCCCGGGTACCTACTAAAAGACCCCTACCCATTAAAAAAACACCACGTCCGAGTCCCTAACTTCGGCCTATATTTGCTTCTAAGTTGTCGCCCTTTCAAGCCGCTACTAAACGACCAACATGGTCGATTTGGGGTGTAGCTTCTTTTATTAGGTTCCAAAAACAACCGTAACTGCCCATTTGTCCGCCCTGTGCCTCCACCATGGCACGCCGCAGGTGTTCCTTCCTCCAACGGCACGGACTCACGCAAACGCACTTGCCACCGAGGTCTTGCAAAACTGCATGGCACAGCGACATCACCTTTCGAAAGCTTTGGTTGTTAGTCTAATGAAGAATCAGTATTCGAATAAAGGTTTTTGTAGGGGAAAAGGAAGACCCTTCGATCTGGAGGTTTTTTTGAATTTTTGATACGAGTTTAATAAAGGATTTTACATAAAATTCTTATGGATAACTTTTTGGTTTTGAATTTCTTCCTAGGTGACCCTATTTTGGACCCCCCCCGATTTCAGGGACCCCCTATTTAAACAAATGCGACCGAGTTTCTCTTAATAGGGGGTGCGTTTTTTTAAATAGGTGGACAGTATTATTCTGGATTGCTTCAGAGACAACCACCCCCAATCCTGCGCTCTTTTGTGTCCAAAAATACCACCACGAGGTGCTTTCCTGGCACTGGCCTGAAAACAGCAGTGCGCCGAATCCTGCATAGAGCATGTAGACGGTCCTTGTGAGAAAATACCACATTTGACAGGGCTGTGATGGCGCTGCCATGCAAAACACTTTTTGGCAAAGTATGTTGTCCTGAATCCGCCCGTTTGACTTGCACCAAAGATGCTTGCTAGCGAGATGGCAAAGCCCAAACCTCCAGGAATGTGTAGCATCATACAGCTGACATCGGCACAACATTCTGGCATTGCATCAATCCATGAGTTCTTCCCATCAGTTCGCCATGAGACCAAGAAGAACCAACGTCGCCACAAAGAAGTACGGCATGAGACCTGCAAGCTCTATCGGATGTGACGCACCAATGCGGTCTCCAGCCCAGACAAGGTTCGAATGAGTATTTGTAATGTTTCATGGCCAAGAGGTGAGCTAACAACTTCAAAGGAAACAAAAAGGAATTATAGCAGGAAACTACTAGCGATGGCCTCCACCCTGGAAGCGATGGCCCTCCAACCTAATAGCGATGGCCTCCAACCTAATAGCGATCTACTAATAGCGATCTACTTGCTAGTTGTTAGCTCACCTCTCGGCCATTGGAGGCCATCGCCATTAGGTTGGGTAAGCTTCTAGGCTTAGACGCAGAAGGGCTCAAGCTTAATTCTAGATTTTTCGGGAAAACTTGAACTTTAAGCCCAATCTGACCCCGCCTGTAAAGTCATACTTTGTCTGGCACGCAAACAGCATCAACGCTGTGACCACGAAGGCAGTGATGCCAAAGGCAACCAAGACAGACTGCGCCTCGTTAGTTTATTTATGTGTATTTTAAACCCTCAGAGCCGGCCGTTTTTACATCTGTGGAATAGATATGGACATATTATAAATATGTAATATGTATAT